TCTTTTTTTCTCTCTTATTTTTAGCTGGTATTACGAGAATTAATCAAGAAACATCTGTTAGCTGGTTCAACTCGGATGGAGTATGAATTGCCAGATTTGCATCAATTATTAACAATGGCAAAAGCATCATTTCAAAAGGTTCCAACCTTAGTCGAAGTTCCATGTCCTGTTAACATTTGCGGTGATATTCATGGACAGTATGGTGATCTGATGCGTATTTTTGCGGTAAGTTCGTTTGAGCTTCTCTATTTTTTTTTTTTAGATCTTATAATAATTTACACTTTAAAATCCAACAATCTTCTTCAGGGAAGATGACACATCATTTTAATTTCTCTAAAAAAATTCTCGATCGGAATTGTGTTTAATCTTATGTCCTTTGAAATAACTCAGTGAAAATGCCCTCTTTCGATTTTTTTTTTTCCTTTAATATCTGGGTATAGATGTAAATAGTGTTATTCATCGTTATCAGAATCATTGAAACATTTAACAATCTATTAATCATTCTGGAAATTTATTACTAAGAGCCTGATAGCGGTATTCCGAAAAAAAAACATGTTGTGGCCTTTACATTCGGTTTATCCGCTTTTCTGAACTTGCTATCAATGAGTAGCAGATTATTTCTTCAGTATAGTTCTGATGAATTTGACATTGATGATATTAAATTATTTTAAATTTGATAGGAATTTGCTTTAAAAATATTTCAAACTCGTTTTAAAAGTGATCCACACTTATTTTAAAATTAGTTCAAATTGATTCCAAAGGTGACTAACATTTATTTCAGAAGCAGTTCAAGTTTATTTTAAAAATAATCCAATTTTTTTAAGACTAAGCAAATTGGAATATCTTTCAAAATTATACATAATTTAGTCATGTGGTTTACCATTCAAAGTACGATACCTATTTCTGGGCGATTATGTTGATCGTGGCAGGCATCCATTAGAAGTAATAGTACTCCTTTTGGCATGCAAAATACAATTCCCGAAATTTGTTTTTCTATTACGTGGCAATCACGAATTATTTCATATCAATAAGTTTGTTTTTTTTTTGTAGCAAGAGAGAATTATTTCACGTTGATTTTGATAATCTGACCTTCTTGTTTTTTGAAAAATCAAAGTAGTTTACTTATTATTGAGGCAATTAACAGTTATTGGGAATAAATGTCCCACTCCGTTGTTTATCATTATGACTACAGTGAAATAATTGCCGAAGAAATTATAAATTTTTTTATAGGAGATTACGAATACTTCAGTTATAATAGTTATAAATTAACCTTTATGTAACAGAAAAAAGCGCCCCGACGAACCATCTTTCCGACAATTGTTAGCTAAATAACTGAGAATAAATTGGGCTAATTTCAAAATCAGGACATATGGTTTCGCAGCGGAGATCAGGACTCGTTACCGTATCCAGGCTGATGCTCAAGGTTTATACAATCATTTCAATGAAGTTTTCGCCGAAATGCCATTAGCAGCAATTGTTGCAGGCAAAATATTATGCATGCATGGTGGACTGTCACCAGAATTGAATTCTTTAAACGACATTAGAAACATTAAAAGGTTTCTAAAATTCATTCTCAGAAATGAATTTTAGAGTTCAAAAATTTTAAATTATGTATTCTACCAACGGATTTTATTAAAATTTACAAATTTTTGGAGGATTTCATCAATAAAAGCCTCCTAAAAAAATAGGCGATCGAATGTGAAAAAATGGGTTATGTAAAGTATGGCTCATGTACTAATTGTATCCCTTCAAGGCTTGCGAATCATCTTTCTGTTTAACAACCCCGAAATATCCGGAAATTTCTCCTATGCTAATTCACGATTCATGACGTACAAAATGACTATATTCAATAACAATATTTCTAGTATTGCCCTCTTCCAGGCCACTGAGAATGGTAAAAGGTTTGGCTCAGGATTTGCTTTGGGCAGATCCAGAAACGGGTGCAAAAGGTTTCCAGAAGAATCAAATTCGTGGTGTTTCTTGGGTTTTCGGCGAAAATGCTGTGCATGAAAAGATCAAACAACTTGGCATTGATATGGTCATTCGAGCACATCAGGTAAGTTATATATTAATTGTTCACGAATTTCATTTCGATAATAAGCATACAAATTTGTTAGTAATCATTCGGATTTCTGTATTGGGAAAAATTAGAGTTATCGGATTGTTTCCCCATTTACTCCAAAGCTGTGCCAATTTTCTCAACTTAGTGTCTCGGAGAACGCCATCGGAAAAAATCTAACTGCAATGTAGAACTATTCTGTAGTCAAACATATATCTCTGATTCTTATTATTTTCAAATATTGTTATTAACTTGTCAGTGTCGGGATAACTAATCTGTTTAACTCGTTTCATAGTGATATAAATTTATTCGGGATGTAATATTGTTCTCTCTTGCACAATATTACTAGTTAACAACAAAAAAAGATATAAAAAGTACATGCATATATATTAAATATTATATATATATATATATATATATATATATATATATAT